TAATATGATAAAAAAAAAATTAAAAAAAACGGCAAAGTGGCAGGGCTTGCCTGGCCTGGCAGGGGGGACACAGTGACTCATTTGGGGGGGCATGGCCCGCGAATGCCCACCCATGACGCTGACCCTGGGTGAGTGTAATAAGGAGGCAAAGTTGACGTTCAGTGTGTTGCCGGGAGCATAAGGATTTATCCACCATGTTGAAAATGTTAAAAAAAAAAAATTCTTGAGAACACGGCGTGCGGAAATATACGGGTCGTGCTGCAGCTAGATGTGCCTGTCCTCTGTAAGAAGGTGTCGGCGACTGACATGCAAGGAAGAACGGCTGTCCACAGGCTGTTCCAACTTTAACAACTGTATTAACTTCCAGGGTAGTGAATTGAACATNTTTATTTTCTGTTAAATAAGGTTCGTTAGACCAGCGGTTTTCAAAGTGTGAGGCGCGCCTCCCCTGGGGGGCGCCAGAGAGCTTCAGGGGAGGCGCAGCGTGAGACACAAAAGAACGAGAAAAAGACGAGTAAAGTGACAATTGCCCACTTGTGGCTGTCTGTGGAGACCGAGTTCGCTGCGCCTCCCCTGAAGCTCTCTGGCGCCCCCCAGGGGAGGCGCGCCTCACACTTTGAAAACCGCTGGTCTAACGAACCTTATTTAACAGAAAATAAAATGGCAACAACAGGGCTTGGGAGCAGTGGTCGCGTTAACCGAATACACATATTGGTTTTGGCTAGACTAGTTTGACTGAAATGTTCTATATAATCTGATGACTAAAAAAGACTCAATAGTTTTCATTGACAAAAAGTAGACTAAAATAATTAGTTTTCTTTGACTAAAATAAGACTAAAATGCTCAGACTTTTAGTCAACTAAAACTTGACTAAATAAAAACAGGATGAAGGTGACTAAATATGACTAAAACTAAAAAGGAAATTTAACACAGGACTAAAACTAAATAAAAAAAATAGCTGACGAAATTAACACTAGCACACAGTAGATGAGATAAGATGGAACTTTATTTATCCCCTTGGGGAAGTTCAGGCGTTTATAGCAGCAACAGGGTCAGAGTTAAAAACAGGATTCACACAAGGTTGTTATTGTTCTCCACTATGTGAAATGTACAAATGTTGGCTACAGAGGTATTCACAAAGCAGATGCACTGAGGGAAAAGGTTGTCAATCACTAGTTTGTTGCGTCTCAAGCTTTCTATGTCTGTGTTGAATATGAAGCTGATGTTTTCTCTGTTTAGGTGTGGGCGTCTGATGCTGGCGTGAGCTCCAAACCCCCCTCAGACCTGGTGTGGAAGAGCCAGAACTCCTGGGGGTCCGGGCGGGACGTCCACGTGGTGCTGCTCAGCCCTCAGGGAGAGGTGAACACACTCAGACACACACACACTCACTCAGACACACACACACTCACTCAGACACACACACACACACTCAGACACACACACACACACACACACACACACACACACACACACACACACACACACACACACTCAGACACACTCAGACACACACAGACACACACACACACACACTCAGACACACACACACACACACACACACTCAGACACACACACACTCAGACACACACACTCAGACACACACACTCAGACACACACACTCAGACACACACACTCTCTCTCACTCACTCACTCACTCACTCACACTCACTCACTCACTCACACTCACACACATATACTCACTCACACACACTCACACACATACTCACTCACACACACTCACACACATATACTCACTCACATATACTCACTCACAAACACTCACATATACTCACTCACACACACATACTCACTCAGACACACACACATATACTCAGTCACACACACTCACACACATACTCACTCACACACACTCACATATACTCACTCACTCACACACACACATACTCACTCAGACACACACACATATACTCAGTCACTCGGTCTCTCTCTCAAGTCATTTTTCATGCAGTAAAGTATCTCTTTTTGACATTCAAAAACATCCCCTATGTGTGTTTGTGTGGCAGGAAGTGGCGAGGAGAACCACCACGTATAAAACGGGATTAGAAGAGCAGGATGAGGAAGGTGATGATGAAGAGGAGGACAACTTTCTCCTGGGGCAGGTGAGAGTTTGAGCTCGGCACCGACACCCCCCCACATTTCAGACAAACGTATACATAATTAGTGTTTACTTCCTGTCTGTCTTCTTCTGTTGACTCCCTCGAACCTCCTTAGTAACGGTCATTATTATATCTTAACAACCTCTGAAATGACCCATTTGACCAATCAGAATCGAGTATTCAACTAAGCCGTGTAATAATAATACTAAAAAACATTTATCTCAGCACATTATTCATAAAAATAAGTCAGTCTTTATCAGTGCTGTTTTTTTAGACTTTTAATGTGTGTGTGTAGCAGTGTGTTTTAAATTGAACCATGAATGTGTGTGTGTGTGTGTGCAGGAGGACCCTCACACTGCAAACAGAAGCTGCTCCATCATGTGAGCCAACCCCCCCCCCCCCACCACCACCTCTGAGCCCAGCCAGTCTGCTGCCAACTTTAAAACTATTTTTCTATCTTTTCAATAAAAAAAAAATTGGTTTTCTTTCTCATAAAAATGCACAACGGATTTTGGTAGGAAGTATTTTCAACTGAAAAAAATAACAATATAATACAGTTGTTGTACAAAAATTGTATTTGTAGGTCAGAACCTTTTTTTAATTTTTTTATAAAACCAATCAACAAGTAGCTACTCTTAAGAAGCGCTGATATTTTTTAATTGGTTTTTAATTTTTTTTTATTACATTTTTGTCTATATCTGACTTTAATAATGATACCATATTGTAAGCTTTAAGAACAGGATGTCGGGGATTGGATCAGCTCAGGGGCTGGAGACCTACTGTATAAATTAAATAAGCATTGAAAGGACAAGTACACTAACTAATACCCCCCTCCCCCTTCTGTCTGGACTTTAACTGGACAAAATGTCAGATTTACACAGTTTAGTGGCATTCTTTTAGTATCTGTAGAGAAAGACATACCGTGATTGTTTGATTGTATTAATGAAGAAGTCAGAGGACAGTTGAAGTTTGTTAGCAGTTGTTGAGTTACCTTAAAGCCCCTCTTCAGGAGGATTAAAAACTGGGACAGTGACACCTCGTGGAGAACATCGTAATAACATTATTTGTAATAGTTCTCCACTCAAAGGGGCTGTAACCTTACTCATCAGCACATTTAAATAAGTATTGAGAAGTGTTGATTGTATTCTTAACTTTTGATATTTAAAGTGTTTGAAGTACCTTGTGTTGTATGTTATTATGCATGCTATGTAATCATAGTTGAATCATTAAATGAATTTTCTTGTATATGTGTGTTCTACTGGTTTTTTTTATACACGTTTTAATGTTTTCTCTGAAGAAGACGGGTCATAGGAAACATATTACAAATCACTGAAACGCCGAAAATCAAGAAACCCTTTGTTTACCATTTATTTACTAAATCGCATCATCCTGGGGCCTCTTCTCGTCAACATCTACATGCTACCACTGGCTCAGATAATGAAAAACAGGTAAATAAGTTACCAAGGTTATGCGGATGACACACATTTATATAACCATTTCACTAGGAGACTGATCCAATTCAAACGGTGAGTAAGTGCATTGAACAAATCATTAACTCGGTGTGTCAAAACTTTCTTCAATTAAACAAAGATAAAACTGAGGTTACTGTTTTTGGAGCCAAGGAAGAATGAATAAAGGTCAGCGCTGAGCTTCAATCGTCAATATTTAAAACGAGAAACGAGCCAGAAATCTAGGTGTAGTCATGGACTCTGACCTGAGTTTCAGCAGTCACATTAAAACAGTTACTAAATTATAATATTGGGAGGGATGAAACCCTCTTTAATGGTCACACATGCAGAGAGAGCACACAGCACACACAGTGAAATGTGTTCTCTGCATTTAACCCATCCTAGTACCAGGAGGGTGTTTCTCAATCACAAGGATGCTGGCTTGGTAGTCGCATACTTCCAAGTCACTTCCCTCAGAAACGAAGCAAGTATACTTCCAAGCCACGGCTTCGGAAAACGAAGAAGAATGGAACAGGCTAACAAGTTTGCCACTCTCTAACGGTTTCAACATATACTGTACCGAAAATAAATACCTCACGATGTCTATCTAATTATGAACTTGCTTTACTTTCACGGAACACATTTTTGGTGATAACAAACAAATGTAACAAAGTAACATATTTACCTATGATATTTACCAACACATGTTCTACGCCACTACATACTTACATTTAAATGTGTGCTACGTCGGTTAAATATGTGCTACGTCGGTTCAGCAATTCTCCGCAATGCGCAAAGCATTGTGGGGATTTTAGGGACGCGAAGTCTACCCATGTGCAGCCTCGAAATTTCCCCCAAACCAAGGACGCGGCCTCGGTGGAATTCCAAGTATGCTGGAGATTGGAACAGTCCTTCGGCGGCACTCGATGACGTAGCATCCTTGAAATATTGGCTTGGAAGCCAGTTTCCTCGAGATTGAGAAACGGCCAGTATGGAGCTCAAATGCTTTTTCTCTTGCGGGTTTATCACAAGGTGAGTTCCTTTTTTTATTTCCTGCTATTTAAACACATGCTCTCTCCAGTACAGGTTAGCTCTGAGTGTTAGCGAGGCTTGCTAATACCATATTACGTCCAAAACACATCAGGCATTGTTTCTGATAGCAACTTTCTGTGGGTTCACCATCCGAAGTTACGTGATATCGGCAGCAAATCTGTATCCTCTTGTTGTACCCGCGTTTTTAAAAGATTTGGGTATGGAGGAAAAGAGAGAGAGTGCATTTTGCGTGATAGGTCCCCTTTAAGGTTAAATTGGGACATGGCCCTTGGGGGCTGAGCCCTGGCACAGACCACTACATGCTGTTCATCAGACTTGCACATCTTCAACAAATGATATTATTAAAAAAAACGTGTTCAAAATGCGTCGTCCGCCCTTAATTAAAGGAGGCTGCTGCAAATCAAATCAAGCGGTTTCTAAACAGCCAGCTAGTGTTAGAGATGTTTTGACACTTTTGTCCTCAGCTGTCGGGTTTCACTCTGTTGCAATCTCTCTTATTTATTTTTCAGGGAGTCTACATGTAAATCACTTGTCTCTTTTTGTACCAAATGATACTTGATTTATTAATTTGAGAAAAATGCCAACATAATAAACAAAACTTCTAAACGAAAAGAACCCTAAAGTAACCTAACCAAAAACCAAACAAAAGATAGCTCCTTAGCTAAGCTCCTGCCATCAAAACATGAGATAACAGGGGCTCATATTAAAACAAAATGGGCTTTTCACTCCTATTACTACTGGCTTCTTTTAGCTCAACAATTCAAACATTTTCACATATTACTTATTACAGTCATTTCCTTAAATCTATTTTAAGCTAATGTTGCCAAATAGGCCTTCAGGGTATCACATCTTCTTGACATGGATCTCTAAAACAGTGGGGAGTCTTGTTGGGAGTAGGAAAGATGTGAGAGGGGAGAGAGCATTTCACCCAAACATCCTCCCATAATTTCAGCACATATGTTTACAATGAATCCCCTGACAGTGAAACGGCCAGTAAAGCGGGGGAATGTATTGAACTGACTGCAGACCATGGGACATCAGTTAGAAGCCACAAAACACCTGATCCAAATTGTGACTGCACTCGTACAATTTAGGGGTGGCTTCGTCTGTACTTTAAATGTCGGAAAGTTGTCGGAGTTAATGCTTGTTATTAAGAATGTATGTTATAATCAAAACCCCTATAGGCAAAAATCAGCTTGTTCTGCATTTCTTTATTGCATTTCTTTACTAACACTAGTAATTTAAACGTGTGATTAAAAATGATTACACGTGATAAATCACAGATAATTATTGTGATAAATGCAATTCTTTTTATTTTTTTTATTTGATTGACAGCACACTATAGTTAAAACATTTAAAACTGAAAATGTGCCTCTTCCCTTTCTCTCTTTCGTTATTATCAAGCTCAATCTGGTCAGCAGACGATGAGTAGCTCACACCTTCTGACATTCAAATGGCCACGCTGTTTTCTATCACCGCTGGATCCATGTATGTGTATGGGATCTCCAGCTTCCTGTTTCTGACACTGATGACTCTACTCAACACTTCAAGCTCTCCTTGAAAATCCTTTATCAGCTCCCAAGGATTCTCCTCACTGAAATGCTCCTCTGGGAACTGGCCGAGAGGGACCTGATGAGATCAATGATAAAATAAAAGTTGAAATATGTCTTAAAACAGATAATTGACAATAGAATGTAAATTAGATATCAGGGTTTAGTGGCCCAAATAAGATAATCTTGCTTAAATCAAACTACCATACACCACTTTAACTATTAATACATTTTTAAGGAAGTCTTGGGCACTTACGAAGTCAGATGAAGGCTTGCTGAGCAGCCATACGGTGGCCATTCCCTGAACTGTTGTGTTGATGTCAGGCAGTGTGTTCAGCATTGTGGCCTCGCTTGTTGTCCCCTTTGTGGTTGGTGGAGGAAGTTGCAGGGAGATGGGAGTGTTGGGCATCCAGCCACCATAGTCATACTGTGATAAAATAATGATTGTCAGACAACATTTTTTTTTTAAGCTACACCATGGGAGACTTTTGATCAGTCAGTCAAATACTTTGGTCCCCATTCCCATTTTCCAACTACTGAAAGTATTACTATTAAATGTGGATACTACATTTGTACAGAAATTGATGATTCTCAGTGGAAGATAAATGTGTAAAAACGTACTTTAGGGTAAACTGTGATACTGTTGGTAATCCTTTGACCTTTCATCCAGCACAAACATCAGAAACAAAGTTTTGATCTGTTCAGCCTCAGCTGTACTTTGTGGTTGTTAACACATGTTTTCATGTTAACATGGCAAACACAAATTGTGATCTTGTGAGTAAATATTATATTTGCCAATGATCATCATGTAAGCATTAGCATTGTGACTACAGTATATAAACTTTTTTTATGCGTTCCACACAAGGATATCCATTAAAGGTCTCCTATTATGCAAAATCCACTTTTCATGTCTTTTATACATAAACATGTGTCCCCTCTGTGGAAAGAGATTCTGAAAGTTTCAGGAAAAAATATTCACTCCATTTATATGAAAACCTGTCTGAAAATGAGCTGATCAGATTTTGGCCACTTTATGATGTCACGTTTTTTTGGCTTGTGTAACCATTAGCCA